AAATATATAATGTTATATATATATATAACATTAATTGAAAATTTTTAACAGTTCTCATTCAAAATAATTAAGTTTTGTACAATAGTAATATAATTCATAAGCTATACTCTTCTATGAAAATATTACAATAATAAATAAATAAATTGTTATTAACTTCTGTGTCACACACAATAAGCGCGATCGACACAAAATGTTTGTTATATGCAATAGGTGATACAAAGTTTAAAGAAATTTCTATAAAAATACACAATTTGAATTGGAATTAAATTTGAATTATTATATATGTTAAGATTACAAAAATAATAGTAAGAAAGAGAGCGAGAGAAAAAGAGAAAATTTATTCAGTATTATTGAAGAATGTTTTACTTATTTAAACTGTTATTAATGTAAAATAAACAAGATATAATAAATCATTAAATGCATAATATATGAAACAAATCAAACATATACGTACAAGTATAAATAAAAGCGAAAGTGACAACAAGGAGCTTTTGTATAAAAAAAAAAATAAAGTAAAAGAAACATGAGATTATGAAAATGAGAGATATCAAGAATAAAAATACCTGTGAATATTATAGTTAAATATAATTAAAATTATATATAGTGCAGCAGCAATTTATATATATGAAATGTAGAACGACATATTTACATAAAAAATCAGAAAACCTAGCTATTGTATACTATATTGTGTTTATATTTCTGTAATGAATGTTGATTATTGTTATTAGTTTACATGGCAATATGTTGTGTATTGTATACATATAAAATTAATAAATGTTGATAGATAAAATTATTTTTGTTTATATTACACAAAATTGTATAAAAATGCAAAAATTTTAGAATATATTAAATCAGGAAAATATTATCATCCGCAGACATAATTTGATTGTCGTCTGTCATTTTATTAATTGCAGCCATTATCTCTGAAGGTGTAAAGTTGGGAATGTGCTGCTCATCCAAATAAGCACGAACTCGGGGAATAGGTAGGGTTTGAACTCTTTGTTCTTGGAATAATTTATGAAGTAAAGTTCGAAAAACTTTCAATCTAAAATGAACAAAACAAAGAAAATGTGTGTTACCAATCTTCATGTACGTAATATAAAGTAATACTAAAATTCTTTTACTTTTTATAAAAAAATATAATTTATCTTTTTTGCTGTACCTGTCTTCTGTAATTGTTCCAGATCCTTCTGTTGTAGTTTCTTCACTACATAAGACTGAACTTTGAGAGACTTTAGCAATTGAAGAAGTACCAGCAGAAGTATCAGTAGAAGTACCAGCAGAAGTACCAGCAGAAGCATCAGTAGAAGTACCAGCAGAAGTAGCTGCTTTTTGTGATCGAGTTAATCTTGTACTCCTTTTGTTCAAATTAGCAGTAGATTCATCCATATCACTTATATATTCATAAGGATCACTGGTAGATGTTCCCTGTGTGTCGTGACTTTTTTTTGGGCGTTTTGAACGCTTACTTTCTTCTTCTTTTTCGCTTTCATCACTATTTATGCTAGCATTGCTATCACGTCTTCTACGCTTTCTTCTTTCTTTTTCTAATACTTTCTTGAAGTAAGCGAACTGTATCAATTCAATGGCTGCCTGCGCATCTTCAGCAGTAATATTTTTGGATAAACGTGCTTTTGCATGTGCAGTAGACAATCTAATCATTGTTTCTAAAGTACGAGCTGTTACAGGTTGAGTCTACAAAATATAGCGTGTAAAAAAATAATAAAAAACAATAATTTTATTTCACTAATATTTTAGTTATACAATACAATACGATACCCTTGCAACATCAGATTCAAGCATATCTTCCGATCGAAGTCTCGAATATTCGTCGGCTATAACTTCACTGGCTTCTTCTGTTAGTTTCGGTTTCATACAACGTGCTATATGAATATATTTTCTCATAAAATTTATGCTCAGAATTTGATCACTGAAAAAATTAATTATTTTAGCATAATATTATTAATATTATAATAATTCATTTATAGAAACGTATTAATTTTAATATACTTTTTGGCACAGGATTGTCCATGCAACATGGGGTCGTATTTCTGATAGACTTGTTTTTCTATCTCTTCGGAAAGTTCTTCATCCTGAGTTTTGGTTGTTAACATATCTAATTTACTATTCAATGGTAATGCTTCTCCATCTTGCTCCATTGGATTTCTATATCTATGCATTCTTACGACATGATCACCGATTATATTGTCCTGATCTGAATCTATTGTATCCAACATTACAAATAACAAATCGAAACGCGAAAGCAGAGAATCTTGCAATCCTATATTCTCCATTGGTGTTTTGTATTGATCATACTGTAAAAATATTTAAGAACTTATTGTTATTAATTCAAAATAATATTTAAATCAATTTTTTTGTATTCAAAAATATTTTTATTACCCTTCCATAAACAGGATTGGCAGCCGCTAAAACCGAACAACGTGCATTTAGACTTGCATGAATACCAGCTTTAGCAACAGTAACCTTTCCTTGTTCCATTACTTCATGAATAGCAGTCCTATCAAGATCTGACATTTTATCAAATTCATCAATACAGATAACACCACGATCAGCCAAAACCATAGCACCTGCTTCAAGTCTACGTTCGCCAGTTTCTTGATCCACTGTAACTGCAGCTGTTAAACCTACACCAGAAGAACCTCTACCAGTAGTTGCTATTGCACGTGGGGCAGAACACAATACATATCGTAAGAGTTGAGATTTTGCTACTGATGGATCTCCAATAAGTAGAACATTAATATCTCTATCAAACAAAATAAAAGTTCCCAAGTTGTTATTTTAAAATATAAATAAAAATTATCATATCGTCATTTTTATCTGATATATGGATTAACGTATTAAAAAAATCTCATACCCTCTGAGTCTTGTACCATTAGGTAAAAGTTTTTCCACGCCACCAAGTAGAAGACACAAAATAGCTTTTTTAATATAATCGTTTCCATGTATGGAAGGTGCTAAAGATTTACTTAAAAGTTCGAAAATATTTTTGCATGGATTACTTTTAGCTAGTTTTTTACACATTGCTATGTCATCATGTGAAATTGAGAGACTAGCTTCTTTGCTTAATTGCATAATATTATTAGCAATTACAACTGTTCTGTAAGAAATTAGAAGAAATTTAAAGTTTATGAAAATGATATTTGAGTTTTTATGAAAATAGGGAAATATTTTAACAAAGAACCTGAATGTGCCATTTGTATAGCCTCCTTGTTTTCCTGGAAGACATCTATAATTTCCTACAATTTGAACTCGATCACCTGGTTTACATAAATCTACTAAGTCATTATCACAAATAACATCAACACTGCGTGGTAATTGTCCAGCTGGTGCCTTTTCAGGCATTTCTTGGATCGTAAGAGTCTGATGATCTTTGTAAGTAGATAAGCCAAATTCTGTTTCAAGTGGATTTCCATCTTCGTCCTTAAATATAAAAATATATTTTTGTTGCGAATGTAGAATAATTAATAAAGAAATCTAAGCTAATTGTAAGAGTAATTACCGTAGTAGGATACACAGCAGATTGTGGAAATGCTTCTATTGAAGTTAAATCTGTATAAGCTCTTTCGATAACCGTTTTTGTTGTACTGCAATAATGAACACTACGTACAACTTTAGGTTTCACAAAGGAGCCTTAAATAAAAAGATTACATATATGAGCTATTAATTTATAACATTAGCCTTACGTAATAAAATATATGTAAATGTAATTACTTACATTTAGTCACGATGCCTTCAATACATACTAAATTACCCAAGAAACGTGAAGTTAAAGTTCTCGGTGTGACGTGCTTGTTCCCAAAACTTCCTTCAAATGCTACAAAAAAATCTATATTTCCCTTGGCATAATCTGTATCTACATTGGCAACAAATTGTTTCAGTGCATTCTGAAATGCTAATTGTTCTTCAAAAGAATTGTTCAATAAACTGTAATTAAGAAAAAGAAAATAGATTTAAGAATGAAATGGTTTACAATTTTAATAGTATTGTTCCAATAAGGTTTGAAAAAGAATTGTGAATATACCTAACAGCTCGTGCAGGGTTTTTTCTTCTTAAATCATTTATATTTATATGCAATCTATATCTGTTTTCTTCAATCATATTTTTAACCATAGTTGCATATATACCCTGATCTTCCTATAATAAATATATACATTTTAATTATTATATTTTCAATTGATATAATATAAGAATAAAATAATATACCATATCGTCCAAAAAATCGACATATTCTCGTTGTAATTCTTCAAGTCTTTGATCTATATCTATTGAATTCATGTTTATCGATTATTTTATATCTTGTTAATTAAAAATATTTACATTAAACAGATAAAATAGTATGAATAAACTCAAAAACTCAATCAAATCAGTACAAACTGATTTAACGCGGGAAAACAAAATAACCGTAAGGCGTGTTTACACATTCACCAATCACGTTCGAGAGTTTTCATAAAATCGAATTAAGATTTTACTTGCGTATATGAGTCGTTTATTTTGAAAATGGCCTAAGTTCATTTAAACATTTTTTTTATGATTGGATAACGTGTATAACTGGAAGTTAACTGTTATAGAAAATATTTTATGGAAAAAAGAAAATGGTTTAGGTCAACTTTCAAAATAAACGACTCATATATAAATTAGTATAATTATTATAATTCAATATTAAATGAACGTATTTTTGTCATTATTATAAACAATTATTGATATTTGATTAAAATAAATTCTAAAATCTATGAAATAGTATTACTCAAATATTATTGGTCATTCGAAATTTTTCAAAATGGCAATATTCCCCGTATTGTAATCTATAATCCAACAGATTAAATGATAGAATTAGTCTTGTTGAAGTTTATGTAGGACAATAGTGAAAAAATACGGTATTATAATATATTTATTATTTTATTATTCATATAAATCTAATTAATAATTGTTAATTTGTTTGAGAATTAATATATACATATATATATATATATATAAATAACTCCAATTAAAAAATTACTATAAATTACAACAGTGTATTATATGCATAAAAGAATTATGTTTATTTTTTACTTTTTTATTATTTAAGAGCCTATTGTGAAAACAATTTTAGTTTACTAGATAAGCATAGAATAAAGTATTGAAAAGTATTGAGAACGGGCAGGAAGTGGTTTTAAACGAGAAAGAGTGAGAGAATAAGAGGAAGAAAGGAAGAAAAACAACTTGATTATACATATGATAAAAAGTTCGAAGAAGCGTTAATTTTTGTCTATATTATATATACATATATGTATATATACATAGACATATTTTTTATGGATTAAGTGGTGTGTTTTACTTTGTAAAAATCTGGAAGATAGTGAATCTTGCAAGTGGTTTATCGTAATTTACATCTTACCCATGATATTTAATCGTATGTTGATATAATGAACTTCACATTATCCTTGACAACATATGTAATTTTGAAATGTCAACATAAAATATTAATTGGTGCTTTCTTTTTTTCTTTTTCGTGGAAACAGTTAAGATATAGTAGATACTAAGTGTTTCATTTTTAATATATATTTTAATTACAATATCAGTCATATTGATTCAAAAATTTAACAAAACTATTTTTCTTTTTATGTCATGTATTTGTAATGAAAAAAGATTAATTTTTCTCGAATGAAATATATTTAGTTTTTTTTTAGTTCTATTTTAATTATTTTCGTTATCAAAATTTACCATTTTATTATCGTGTATATGTAATATATTAAAAGGGAAGAAATTTATTTCCTCATAAGATTTGTATATTTTGATATATTATAAAATACTTATAAATGTGCATGGTAGTTTAATGTATTATTTATTTTAATTTATAGGTAGCAGAACATGGTTTTAACTACTTTTAATGCATGCTACATATTAAGTACCTTCGATGATATAAAAGAGCTGACCAAATTACCATCAATATTTCTGATAACCGATGATGTAAATAGATGTTAATTATAATTAAAAAGATTAGAAAAGCTCTGATTTAAATAGATTGATACATAATTAATAATCATGGGTTCTATAACTATGGAAGAATGTGAACTTATGAAAGATTCCAAGTATCGTGTGTAAGCATTAATTAACATAATTATATATTACTTAATTATATTGATAGAAAATGTAAATTATCTTTGCGAAAGTATAAGAATATAAACGAAAAATATGAATAAGAAGAACTGGTAATTATGTTAATTTTATTTATACAGCTATGTCTCAGCCGTAGATAAGGCTTTGAAAAATTTTGAATATACTAGCGAATGGGCAGATCTTATTTCTGCGCTTGGAAAATTAAACAAAGTATTATTGAATCATATGAAGTTTCCAGTTATTCCAAGAAGAATAAAGATATCTAAGAGATTAGCACAATGTATGCATCCTGCTTTGCCTTCTGGTGTTCATTTAAAAGCTTTGGAAACTTATGATACCATTTTTAAATGCATGGGTACAAATAGACTCAGTCATGAACTTTTTATATATAGTGCAGGTAATTTAATTTCAATGATTTGTGTGTTTCTGTCTATAATAGCTATGAAATAGAAACGTACTATAAATTTTGAAATTGAGAAAAATTGATCTGTAATCATTATTCTTATTTATTCCCCAAGGTCTTTTTCCATTATTGGGTCATGCTGCTATGAACGTAAGACCATCTTTATTGACAGTATACGAAACTCATTTTGTACCTCTTGGAGAAAGACTAAGACCAGGGTTGAGTGGATTTCTAAGCGGTGTACTTCCTGGTTTAGAAGATGGTTCAGATCATTTTGATAGGTATAATTAAAATCTATCTAGAAAACAATTCATAATTTATGAATATGTAATTTCTTTATAAACATAAATTATCAAGATTCTATAATATTCAAACAAATAAATTTATTATTAGGACTAATTCTCTGTTAGAGAAAGTATGTGAAGGAGTAGGCGCAGAACATTTTTATGCATGCTTATGGGATTGTTTGGCTTCAAATTCTGGAATACGATTACCAGCTATATCTTTTGTACTGTCACATTTAAATAAGAAAATACCTATGGAAGAGCAGAAGTTTATTATGGGTACTGACAGCGATATTATGGTATATATTTAAAAAGTCCAAAAATTAGAAATTTTTCAAACATAAAATTCGCAATATGCAGAGTGTTCTGTAATTGACAAATTTATTTTTCTTAAAAGTAAAATCTTCTATGAACACATTTTATCCTACTGCTAGCATTCTATTCGCTTATATCAACAGTTACAGAACATCCTGTATATTTGTATATTATATACAATATTAACTTTTGTTTTTCTAAAGATTACTGCATTATGTGCTGGAGTGCAAGATAGTTCAGTTCTAGTACAAAGAAGCGCTTTGGATTTATTACTGGTCGGTTTTCCTGTACACAATAGTTTATTGTTATATAAGGATATGGTATTGTTAATAACAGCTGCTCTTACCACAATATTGAGAAGAGACATGAGTTTAAATAGGTAAACATTTTAAAAATAAATCTAATATTTGTTAATAGTAAAAATATAATATGCAATTTTGTTAGACGTTTATTTGCATGGCTATTGGGAACCGAAGTAAATCTATCAATCTTAAAAACAAAAACTCCTTCAACTACTAATGAAGTCACAGAGCATAATGTTACTTATTTTGATACATATGCAAAAGAAATGTTAATCGAAGCTATCAAATCATTATTGAAAAATAGTTGCAAGGAAAATCCTCAAGATTTAAAACCATACAGAATATTGGTTTCATTGCTAGACAAATCAGATATCGGACCAATAATTCTAGATGATATTTTGTTTGAAATTTTTAGGTAAATAAATACACATGGTGTTATTATAATAATTATTTAAAAATAACATAAATTATATTAAAATTAAATTATATTTTTTGTATTTAAATTTATAGAACTTTTTATATTGCTTGTGGACAGTCAAGTAAAATACCGAAAACCAATGAAGTTGTCAAATCAGCAAATTTACTATTTTCAACATTGGAACCATCTTATGTTTGGATACATTGTGGTTTTTTGTTTGAAAAAGCTTGCCAAGCTAGAATTAAAACCCAGTGCGAAATAAAAGATATGATTGTTCAATCTATTGGTTGTGGAATGCCAAATTTAATTGAAATATGTGTATTAACAGAATTCCTATTAGATACTGTATCATTGGACACATTCATAGATACTCCTTCTGACCATTTACCTACTTTATTTTACAATATTATTAGTAAATTGTTGTGCCATATTGATCTGCTTTCTTGTATGGAAATCTCAAAGAGTCTTCAACTATGTGCAAAAATTTTATCTAAAGTGCAACCAACAGTAGTGACAAGTCAAACGGGAAAACTTGAAATAGATGCTAAATTAGATTCTTCTCAAAATAATGCTATTACAAGCAGCAACGATAATTCTTTAATAGCAATTCCATTGGAAAAAAGTCAATCAGATAGTAAATTAAACAAAGCGGATGCTATGAATAATTCTTACAATGAGAAAAGTCCTAATCTTCGAAGAAGGGCTAATTCTGGTGGTACTACTAAAAGAATAGAAAAAAAATCGAAGAAAAAAGGAAGTAGAAGTATTTCTAAACTGAATGACGCTACTGTAACGCAAACTGATGATATTAATGTTTCGGTAACGATTAATGAAGATTTTAAATTATTACCAAGAAATAAAAGTATGGAAAACATACAGACGGATTCTGAAAAAACGGCCAAAAATATATTGGAAGAAAAATCAAGTATATTAAAAAATAATTCCGTACAGAACTATATGGATTCAACTAATTCTTTGAGAAGAGAAACATCTCCAGCATTTCAAGCTCAACATTCTATGTTAGAAAAATGTTTACGCCAATATGAAATTTTTTATGTGAAATTAATCAGCAACAGGGTACTTTCAAAAGAAAAGACTGTACAGAATATGTTTGATGATTTATTAATTTCTTCCCCTAGAGAAAGTTTTAACGAAAGAATGCATTATTTAGAATTTTTATTAAACTCCAGATTAAATTTAGAAGATTCTGGATTTTTTAGTCAAGATGTATCCGTTGTCGAAGATGTTAAATGTTTCAATATTCTCCACTCATATACCGACACGATTGCTCAATCTGAATGGGAAGAATCTGTTAAAATAGCATCAAGTTTACTCGTTGAATTATCTACTTTTCCGAAATATTTTCTCTCTGGGGATGGTCTATTGTTGGAAGATGAGCCAAAAGGAGCAATTGTCCTTCCAGATTGGTTAAAGGTGTTAATTGTTTGTGCTTGCTGGTTAGGGAAACAACCAACATTGCAATTAACGAGCATTGCCACATTGCTAGATTTAATAGCATTGTTAAAGGTACATAGTGATATTGAAATACATCCTAAAAGTGGAGAGGGTGTAACAACCGTAGTTATGATACCATTATTAAAACAGTGGCAAATAACTTATCTAATACAATACACCAACGTATTTCAGGTAAGCGTTACTTTGATTATTTGATAAAATAATCAATTATATATCATTATATATAAGTATACATTTTTGATTGAAGGTGTTAGCACATTCTTTGTGGCATCATCTTGGTGAGCTGCCTGCTCATAAATACAGAATGAGATGTGTTGAGTTGATGCATGAATTACATCATGCTTTACATGATTCCTGTGATGCCGTTGAAGATGTAATAGGATCTGCACTTGTATCTGATAATATAGAGAAAAAGATAGAGGCATTTAATAGATTTGCAACTTTATGGCACCTTGGTCGAGAAATTGAAACAAATCCTAGACTACGTGGTTGCTTACGAGCATTTGATCAGTAAAGATTTATTTCGATTTATCATAAATAATTATATTGAATTTTTAATATATCCAAATTAATGTATTTCAGGTCGTTGTTAAAAATGTTAGATAATCTTCAATTATCAGATAATTCACCACTGAAATTACTTGCCCAATCATGGCTTCTTCAATCGCTTATGCGAGGAGACATTTCTCGTATATTGGATCCATTATTAACTATGTTATTAGATCCATCTACGTGTCGTATGAGTGTACTTCATGTTAGTATACAACATAGTAATACTGTTTTAACAAAAAACGATCCAGTTGAAGAAAAATCTGAAATACAAGATGATTCAGAAGGTGCTGCTAAAATATATGCGATTAGTTCCGTAGATGGTAACGTAATATATCATGTTAGCGATGGCATGAATGAGGATAAAAAATCGAAAAAAGAAAAAAAGAAAAAAAAATCTATAAATCCTGTTAAAGTAAAAAGGATATTTGCTGTTACAACATTAGCTACTGGCGATAATTGTAACCATTATATTACCGAACGAAATCAATTTATGAAGGAATTAGAAGTACCACCTAGTATTTCTGGCAATCGTAAAATCTCAGTATTTGTTAATCCTCTGTCAATAAATTGTAACGAAAATTCAAATGATTCGTTAACAGAAGACGATTCTTTTTCCAGTGTAAAAAAATCAAATTTGACTACAGAAATATTAAAAAATGCTACCAGATTTAGAAAAATAGATTTTGATAAAGGTTCCACAGCTAGTCTTGATGAAAGTCTCTTTGAATCTGCTAATTCAAGTCTCAAAGGAAAGGATAAAAATGCTTTAAAAAAAATGAATGGCGAAATGGGCTCGTCGTTAGATTCTATTACAAACAGTTTTGACTCTAGTAGCCCAGAATTGAATAATAAGCAAACTAAACAGAAAAAGGATCATATTATGATATCGGGCGGTTCAAGAGAAATTGCAGGGACTATTTTAAAAGGAAAATATCAAAGTACTAATGAATTTACAACAGGCTATGATGTGCACGATGTAGGAAGCTTTGAAACCAGCGCTGAAGTTCCTAGTTGGACAATGGATGGCGAAGAAGGTGATTTTGATTTAAGCACTACAGCAGAAGAATATTTTAGTAATTCTAGTACTACCAGCATCGTAGAAGAAATATTGAATGAAGTTCTCGATCGCGTAATGCAAATATGTGATGTTGAAACTAGTAAAACCGTAAGTAATTTAAGAATATAATTATCTTTTTTGAATATATATATTTCTTTACAAAAAAATATTGTTTTTATAGACGAATGATGTTGTACAACATAATGTAAAAGCTAATCGCAATTCTGGAGTAGGTGTTCACAATCTTCACTCTCACATGCTTCTTTATTGTGGAGTATATGATTCAACAAGAACTTTATATGCTTTACGTACATTGAGAAATGAACTTATAACAAATACTAGAATGTTTTTGTGCTGCGCAGCTACAACCAGTGTCACTAATGCTACTAAAAATACAATACTATTAAATTTATTAGCTAGACATAGAAAAAGTGTATTTGGAAGAAATTTTCATGGTGATATAGCTAATACAGAATTTATAGCTGCATACAGAAGCAGCATGTATTTGGAAGTTTTAATTAGTGTTTGTCTTTATTTTGCTAGAAGTTATTATCCTAATTTAGGACAAATGAGACTCACACAAGAAGAAATTTCTGGAAACCGACAAGTAAGTATGATATGTTACAAGATTAGATGCATATATTAATTATTTGATTAATATTTATTTCTTTAAAGGTACAACTTGCAAGCGCAGAACTATTGACTCTAATATTCTCTGAGCTTATTCATATTGTACGAGATTCTGGAAAAGGTTTTAGTTGCTATATAGTAGATTTACTTGCAAAATGCAAAGTTCAGAAAGTTGCGCTTCATTGTCTTGTATCAAGTGTTATGTGTATGAAAAATGCAAATAAAGAAAATGAAGAAATCTTTACATTCACAGAAGAAATAATATCATTTAATGATCCAATTATAGAAAATGAAATGAATAAATGTAAATATAGAGCAAGTGATCACACTGAAGCTTTTCAAATACAACTGTTGAGGTAATAAAATATTTTACAAGAATTTCTCTCTCTCTCTCTCTCTCTCTCTCTATTTGAAATATAATATATTTATATTTTATACTGTATTATATATTCTTGTTTAGGTTGTTGTTAGCCTTGATAATGTTAGAGCATCAATGCAGTATACAAAAAGGAGAAGAAATCGGTGTTATGACATCGTCTATACCAAGTACTCCAACTCGATCCATTTCAAATTTAACAGCTAATAACTTGAAATATGTACCTGGTATTCCAATTCCGCAACAGTCAATGTTTCTTAACAGTATTCTTAGTGCATTACAATTGGTTCGTCATAAAAAGTATTGATGAATTAATATATAATAACATTTAATCTTTTTTTATTAATTATAATATTATTTTAGGAACATATGAGACATCTGCATCAACATTGGACAACTCTTGTTACATCTAGTCTTCCATTTATGGGCTCGTCATTAACATCAATTGTAACATCAGTGATTCATCAACTATGTTATAATATTGAACATTTAGCTTCTTATTATATCAGTGAAGAAGCAACTTTGCTTTCATCAAAGTTGCAAGACATAAGCACGGTTGAATGTTGCTTACCTGCTGATTATACAGTAATGCATTTAGAGGCACTAACATTTTTGCTTCATTATTGTTTGTTGGATACGTCGCAGCAAATTGGTTTCTCATTTAATCAACCATTAAGTGGTACAGTTCAAACTGGCGTACCTGGAGCAAATCCTGGACAGATTTTTAGTAATCTCATCCATGTTTTTATGCCAAGTCCGCTTTCTCCAGTAAGAAAAATATATGCAATTATTTCTTTTCTATTGATTTTTATAAATTATTTAATAGATATTATTTCATCAAATAAATATATTTAGGAACTTATGTCAAAGGAGAAGAACGGGGCAAATGAATTACATCAACATGCAAGAAGAACAGCGTTAAGTCATTTACCAAGAATAATAGCTTCGCTTTCAACTTTATGGCAAGCTGTTTTAGCTACAAAAGACAAGTTTGTACAATGTTTTTATTTATAAAAAAATTATTTATTATAATTAGATCAATATTTATTGTATCTTTTTTATCTTTTATACAGTGAACAAGCAACATGTGTAGTCGGCAGTCCAAGAATAGTAAAACATCAACTATTAGAACTTCTATCACCTATATCTTTCCATCATGGAGTAAACTTTCTTGCTGCAGTTGCAGTTGCTTGGCATGAAAGGCGACAGTCTACTACTATCTCAAAGAAGGTAAATTCAGAATGTCATATGATATTTTTAAGTGCAGTATAAATATAAAAATATTTTCATATTTATATTTAAATGTATATATTTGTATATGCAGGTACTTCCAGAAGCTTGTCCAAATCAACAAGTAATGGTACATTTAGTTAGTGCTATACGAGTTATACCAATTGATACATTAGTTCAAACAGTACATCAAGTAGTGAAAACACCACCTCCGATTCATGGTGTTAAGCAAGATTTTTCATTAGAAGTTTCTGTACTAGAATTACTCTATGTTTACATGCAAAGTAATGCCTCACAGTCACTTATTGAATCATGGGCATCGTTACTTGGTTTATTGAAAGATGGTTTGTCCTTAACAGCACCTGCTCAATTTCTATTATTAGCAATTTTAAATGAATATGTACAAAAATGTCCTCCTATGCAAGAGAAAAAAGATATTAGAGACTTACAAGACGTATCTGCAAAGGTAATAATTTATTTTTGGAGTATTAACTATTTCATAATTATTTTTAAATAATACTTATAATTAAATATGAAACTATTGAATTCTAGTTAATCGAATCATGTTCGCAAATAGCTGGAGCATGTTTAGAACAAACAACATGGTTAAGAAGAAATTTAGCAGTACGCGAAGATGTTTTCGAAGTTGTCGAAGGTTCCTCAGAAGGTAAAGAAGGCAAAAATGGTTCTGGTATGTAATCTTAAAATATTTTATATTTGTTACGGCTTATACAAATTATTATTAACAATAATTTTCTTTACTTTTAGTAACACCAGGCACACCTCCAAATGTAGCTTATAGTGTTCAAGCGCAAGCAGTGTTAGCTGAAATATTAGCACCGTTATTAGATGTTAGTTATGGCTCACAAGAAAAAGAAAGAGTTGTTACATTACTCACAAATCTTATGTACAATGTTACTCCGTATCTTAAAAATCACACGTAAGTTTATTAAAATATTAAAAATTAAAAATTAATTAATAAAAATTAGTTTAAATTATAAAATTTATATATTTTTCTCTCTTATACTTTTAGAATGAAAAATATAGCGTCATTCACAGCCTGTTCTCAATTATTAAGTTCTCTTTCCGGATATCAGTACACTAGAAAAGCTTGGCGTAAGGATGTGCTTGATTTGTTACTTGATCCTGCATTCTTTCAAATGACGCCTGCATGTTTACCATATTGGAGAACAATTATAGATAATTTAATGACACATGATAATACTACCTTCCGAGATTTAATGAGTAAGTAGATTTTTATTTTATTATTTTTGTAGTCTTAAATTATCTTAAAAGATTTATATAAAAAAATTTCGATTATTTAGATCGCGTTTCGATGGCACAAAGTAGTGGCATTAGCATATTTTCTACGAGAGAACAGGAATACGAACAAAAAGCTCAACTTTTGAAGAGATTGGCTTTTGTAATTTTATGTAGTGAAATGGATCAATATCACAAATATATGCCAGAAATTCAGGGTATTATAGTATAGTGTATTAAGTATGCTTATTGCTTCTAAAAAAAAAATGGAATGTTACATAAATTTTATTTTTTATTAGAACGACTTGCTGATAGTCTACGTCTACCACAAGTTATTCCATCGATTCAAGCACAAGTATTTTTGTGTTTTCGAGTATTACTTTTACGAATGTCACCGCAACATGCTACTTCCTTGTGGCCTGTTATAGTCAGTGAACTCGTGCAAGTCTTTTTGTACATTGAACACGAACTAAACACAGATAGCGAGGAATTTAGGTATGTTCTGAAATTGTTTATATTTATCTAATATTTGGAATGGAAATGTGTGCTTTTGGGATAATTGCGTTGCTCTTATAATGCATGATGGATTTTTAATATGTACAATTGTTGGGAAAAATATATCTTCCGATAAAAGAGATATAATATTTACATAATATACAAATTTAATCATTTGTTATTTTATTTATTCGTAATTGATTGTTTTAATGCATCATAGATAATATAAGTTATTTAAATTTAATTATATATTTTTTTTTATATATATTAATTTAATATTACTTATATTTATGTAGCATTAGAGAGTATAAAACACATATATATATTGTAGAATATCATTAAATCTATAAAAGCATTTGTTTAACATTAGTATTATACAGGGTGTTCTATAACTGATGATACAGACAAACAGGGATGATTCTACATGAAAAACTAAATCGATAATGTAGAATAACATTTGTTTAAGGCCTTGTTTGTTTTTTAAATAAGTTTGAAAATTTGTTGAATATGTGTGCACTTGATTGATCTTGCAATCCTGGAAACTAAAAACTTTGTTCAATAAACATAAGAGTAGAACAGTTGTAAAAAATATTATCATACTGACAATGTTTATAAACATATTGAAAAATAATCTTCGAAATATTCTAGAGGAAGATAGTGAAATCCGTCGAACTGAAATTGAATCAAGTGCACATATACTTGACAAATTTTCAAACTTCTTTTTCCCAATCAAAAAGACTAATATGAATAAATTTTATTCCACACTCTCGACTTTTATTGTTAGTTTTCCATATAGAATTACCTTCTGCTCGCTTGTACCATCAGTTACAGGATACCCTCTATAAAAAGTTAAGTAATTATTATAGTATATTAAAAATGTAGCTCTTTTTTCCTTCTGAATTATATATTAGAAGTTTACATCCAAACCCGTATGCTGCAGTCCAATCCTAATTTGCCTACATAATTTTCCTCTAACATGGATAAATACCTAATAACATATTGTTTTTGAATTTGTTATGGCATTCGCGATTTGATGGGATTTGTGATGCCACCATGAATTTGATTGGTGTTGGGACATCAGTCGTCAGAGCAGGTAATTAAATGGCTATTGTGTTTTTTATTGATTTTGTCCTTATGTTTTATGTTAATCTATGTATTTTTTAACATAAATTCAAGGAAATAACAATAGAATATAATTATAATATATTAATCCTATCACGAAATATATATATGCTATTATGATAATAATTATTATTATTGAAATATAGTTTCTCATTATCATTGCCAATAACCCAATTGTATGTAAAAGAATGCTTATATATATTATTAATGACATTAATTGTGTTTGGAACCCTTGAGTTTTTGTTTCTTTTTTTTTTTCAGTTGTTTAAACTTTAATACAAGTATGCTATGTTATTTAAATCAGTGTATGTAAATGAAAATAATTAATATAAAATAAAATATTGTTTACTGACAAATTTTTTGTTTTAATAGTTCACATATAAAAGTTATCTCTGTTTTGGATTCTTCTTGGGCTATAAATGCTAGCAATGGTCTACAAGCTCATGGTCATCCACACTGGTTACAGTTACAACTTGCTGCTGCTAAATTATTAGATCTTGTGTTATTACTTCCAGCACATAGATTACCTCAATTCCAAATGTAAGTATCATGTGTTGTAAGATATAATGATGAGATAAAAGAACATATGTTTCCTATACCACAAATTTTTACACCTAATTTTCTTTATTAAATTTATTTTTATAGGTATAGATGGGCATTTGTTGGAGGTGCCGCAGTTGGATGTTCAAACAATAATAATCTCTCTTCTGATTTCGTGCCACACATAACAAGGATAGCAAAGCTTATGGATAACAAGGTATTAATTATTTTCTTAAATAAGTTTAATTCATAAAAGATACAGACTTTGATTATTTTCTATTATCGTTAAATATAAAGAGACTGAATATTTTTATAAAATTTTATTTATTATAAATAATGTCTTCTTGTTTGGAAGAACATTCTTCAGGTAATAGGCACTGTTGTTGTTTATCATCGAACACATAATTTTCTTTGCATTCGCATCCACTTTTGCATGGAGTATAGCAGTCTACTATATTAGGTTCTTTGCATGTAAATTGACAAAGACAATGAGTCCATACTGATTTTTCATCACAGATCTTAGAGGAACTTTTTATGCCAAAATAATCAAATTCGTCGTAATCGTATCCAGGAATACGATGTTTGGTATAACGATATACTTTTTCAGGGACTTTATACCAGTCCAATTGATTATTAAGCGAGTTAGTACGTCTGAATGAATTTTTATCGTTAGAAAATGCGATGGAGAAATCATTTATATCTGGATACATGTCGTTCTGTAATTCTGCATTCTCTATATCATTTAAACTATAGAAATCATCTTGTAATGCATTCTGTGGATTATCTCCCCAACTCTGTACATAATCGATTGATGCATCTTGATAAAATTCATGATTGTAGTCTGCGTCATCTTTGTATTCTATAACATATCATTTTTATTGAACATTCTAATTAACAATTAACATATTAATTATCATTTAAGTCACAGAATTAATAAATGCTTCATAATTATTTTTTATTTAAGACTATATAATACAGCATTAATTTTTCTAATAACAATTAATAGCAATTAACTGAAATTGAATCTATTAAAGAAGCTTTACATTAGTATGATTTGGTATATCGTTATTTCTTATGTTTTTTACATATTTCATATATTTTAAATAAATATTAAAAACCAAATAAATATTTAAAAAAAAAAAGAGAGAAAAAATATAAGTTTCTATTAAATGATATTAAAAATAGTTTTTAATAGCTATCTTCTATTAGAAATAATATAATTTAATATTATTAATATCTATTACTTTGTTTTGTTACATTTTCCTTAAATATGTGGTACTTACGTCCATTCGTTAAAATAATTAAATAAAAGATGAAACAAAGAATATTCTCCATTCTAACCATTGTCATGAGCACATTCACACTGACTGTCTGTAGGATATGTAAACTCTTTACTTATTATTACACACAAATGTATTCAATTAACTATCGAGCTATGTACTCATACGCATGCATACAGATACAGAGACATCCTCATATGCATATAGGTCTATTTGAAGTTCTTTCCACGATATTTCTTTAAGCTTGATTTTTCTTGGCTTTTTAATCATATTGTATTTTTTTTTTTGTAATTTTATATATCTATCATTGATAGATTATGAATATTATTATATAAATGTATAATTGTACAATATAATGCTATTTCAATTGTATTAATTTAGTAACCAACGTGCTTATTTTGGCACAGTAGAAGATGAGATATATACACTTGGTTTATTTTTGCAGCTATACCAATAACTATATGTCTGTTTTGTGTATGTATGTACTTGTATTTTTTATACGATTGTATGTGTATTTTTCTAACTTGTAAATTTATTTTAAGTAACTTATAATAATAATTACGATAATTTTATTAAATAAATTCTAAACATTTAATTATGTACATATGTATGTAATTGTTAACAGTATAATCCAATTGTTCAATATTGTATTATATATTTAATTCTATTTTCAGTACAAGCAGGAACCACCTGTCTCACAGATAAATCCAGGAGAACTGATCTTAACATCAAATTCAATACGTTCGTTGCAAGATTTACATCATTTTTTTATATCGCTGAGTCGTAAATCAAATAACATTTGTGCTCTTGTCAATAATACACAATTAGAAAGTGTAATAGAACAAGACTTTTTAGAAAAAATGCCAGCCATACCTACGAGGTAATAGGAATATATAAATTTGATTATTTAATTATCTTTCAAGCAAGAAAGAGAAGAGATATAATTCAGAGTTTTTAAGATTCTTTATTCTTTTATATCTTTTAATATGATAATATGTAATTGTTAATCAATGTATAAGATAAAGAAAAAACAAAAGAAAAAATTACTTTATCCTTTATCTGCTTAATCTACTATTAATTGTTTTAAAATTGTAAAGCTTTGTTATATACTATATACTAAATGTTAAAGGATTCAAACTATTATATATAACATAATTTACCCCAAATTACTTTTATTTTGTATTGGCTAAGCTCCTCATTCGGTTGTGAGTAGTTATTCAAACGTATGATGCACTATAATAAGATTTGACTGGGATATTTATCCATAGTGATATATTGTTTATATTATAATATTTGTGTAAATGAAAATAATGCTTTATTATTCATTTACATAATGTTCATTAATATAGTTCTATCAATTGTACAGCATGATTTTTCTATATGTCGTCTATATTTTCAAGCTAGAAAGATAATAATTACAAAGAGAAAGATGTTTTTACATCGAGTTTATTTTTTCATTACTGTATAAAACTATTCTTAAATGTAAAAACAAAAAAGAAATATATGTATACATATATAAATATTACCAAAAGAAATAATATAATTAAACAATGCTCACGTTATAAACAAAATTATACTATATAAGATCGTTCATGTAACTAAAAATAATTCGATAATATTTCACATATATTCATTTTAATAAACAATTTAGATCGATATTATAATATTTTGTAGAAAATAATTGAATTTTATTTATGAAAATTAAAAGTTATGTTTAAAATTTTTATAAGTTATTTCAAATGTCTTATATATAATTACTTTTACAATATTCGTTGCAGAATTATTTAATTAATATTTATAGATTTATCGAATTGGATCTAGTTATTTCAATTATCTTGTATAATGTAATATAATATATGCATTTGAAAATTGTCTATTAGTAAAAAATTCATTAATACGTTGAGTGCTACGTCAGTCCCCAGGGACTGACTGAATTTTCCGTTTAAGCGGCATGGGTCTGACTGATTGTCTCTTGGTGTTCGTCTTTTTGCTGCCTGAACGGAAAGCATACCAAAATCGGCGTCACACTCAACGTGTTAAATTAAATTTATAAAAATTGGTTATAAAAAAACACACACACGCACACACATGTATGTATGTGTATATATATATATATTTGTGGGTAATAATAGATTTTTTGTTTGCGCAGTGATATGTAGAACGATTATATATATTACTATTTTTTCAAATTTTATTTCTTTAATATTATTATTTATCGTGAGGGTGAAAGGCTAGCAACTTACCCTCGGTAAAAACAATAAATCGCTCCCGGAAATAGCAAAAAAAAAAAAGCTATTATAACAGGACGAAGTCCTAACAAAAAGTAATAATAGTAGACTATTTTTTCAAATCTTATTTCAATGTTAATGAATGTGTAAAAAATTGTAAAGAAAAAAAAAGAAAGAGAAAAACGAACAAATATTTAGAATTCTTTCATGTTAATCACATTTAAATATTGTCTTCTCAGAAATAAACAATTTTTGCTACCACAATAATATATATATATATATATACAAATATCTTTCTCCCACCGATGTGTACATGTACCTAATATATAACATTTATATGGAAGAGCTGCTGTCTGATTATTTTTATATTTGCAGTAAAGTAAATGAAAGTAAAAGATTATAATTGTAATCAATTATATATTAATTATGTAGTTATGTTTATGAACGATTGTTTTATCCAATTCTATAAAGAAGAGATATGAGTTTATTATGTAAATGCATTTGTTGTACAATTGCTGGTTTTATCTATGTGATAATGTGCATTTGAATATGGCGAAAGGATGAAAGCAGATGAATTGTATGATAAAAAAGTGTTTACATATAAAATTCTCCACATTGATTTATATTCAAGCATTGAACATAAAATTTCAATTGATTTGAATAGAAAAATTATAATGTATATATATATATATATACAGGATGTCCTATAACTGGTGGTACAAGCGAGCACGGGGTAATTCTACATGAAAAACTAAGTCAGTAATTTAGAATAGTATTTGTTTGTTTTCTTTTCTTTTTAAATAAGTTTGAAAATGTGTCCAATATACGTGTACTTGATTGAGTTTCAACCCTGGAAATTAAAAGCATTGTTCGATAAACATAAGAGTAGAACTAATGCAAAAAATATCATCATATTGAGAATGTTTGTAAACATATTAATAAGTATAGAATACTTTCCAAAAAAACCAAGAGTAAGATAGCGAAGTCCGTAGAGATGAAAATGAATCAAGTGTGAAAATGAAGCACGTGTATTTGATAAATTTTTAAACTTATTTTTCTCTAAAACAAAACCTAATATGAACAAACTTTATTCTACATTCTCGAATTAGTTTTTCATGTAGAATCGCCTGCTTTCTAGTTACACGACACCATAAATATTATTATGTAATATGGAAAGTATTAAAAATACTTTTAAAAAATGCTGTTTATAGTTGGTAAACTTTATTTATAAACAAAACAAATAAGAGAGAAATTACGCATGAAGAAATCATTTATTATATTATAAAACATGGAAATATTTATAAATGATAAGGTTATGATTGCATTTTTTAACAAAAAAAAACGATCTAGTCACGTTTACAAATTTAATCTTCATATATTTTATAATCCATACTTTCCACATATATATATATATAAACTTCTACCTTTTAAAATACGGATGTAATGCGTTATTTCAAGTATATGGTGTCTTATGGTGCGCGCGTGCATGTGTGTGTACTTAAACTTTAAAAATATATTTTGGTAAATCAAAATTGTATATATATATATATATATTTTTCTTTTTTAATACTTCATATTTTTTTGTTTTACAGAAATTAATTGTATTAAAGATATGTATAAAAGAAATTATTTCGAGTTAAAATACATTGTGCTCTCCTTTTGTTTTTTTTAAACGATTATTCAAAAATTCTTTGTAATATTTTAGTTATTAAGAGAAAATAAAGAAATATTGTTGTCACAGTTATATATATTTGAATTATATAACGTATGTATTTAATAGTGCATTTTGAATGAATTATTGATTAAATAAATTTTAAAAAATTTCTCATTGTTTTTTTTGAAAGCCATTAGATGTACGCATGCGACTGATGGTAATGCAATTGTTTCACGAAGGAAAAATTTATTTCGTATTGTATAATCTAGAAAAAGAGAAAAGGTTAAAAAAAAACTCAGATTATTGTTAAAAAAATTAAAAGAATGATGAACAATAAAAAGAACAGAAACAGAATTTGGGAGATATCCGTACATTAAAAACGCCAGTATTAAGCAATATTCTGGAATATAAGCGGTTACGTGTGGAACCGGTTTTCTCGAATCGTAGTCGACAGACGACTCGTCCTTTACGGACTAAAAGACGTGAGGTGAAAGTAAGATGACAAAAGAAAAATCTCAGTTTAACGAATTGACCAAATTTTATTCAAAGAAGATCTACTTAAAAATAAGGCTAATGTAGACTTAACTAAAAATGTGCTCGTATTGGAAAGCTTGAAAAAGTATTTAAATCGTTATTGCTTACAATGGGATACCAACTAACCTAATTCGTGACTTGTTTGCAATCTTTATTTTAAACGGATAGATAATCTTGAAAAAGGAAGAAATACGTGTGTTGTATTTTCTCTATTACTTTTTATCTATCAATATTTCAGAAATATATTTATATATGTATATATATATATATATAAATATATATATAAATATAACGATAACACAATTAGTTGTTGAAATATTAAAAATGGCTGTTGTTAACAAGTGGGAGAATGTATGTAGATTGTGTTCAGAGGAGAAAATCGAGATGTTGCCAATATTTGGCATTGAAGGTGTACGACGTAAAGTGGTGCAAAAATTGAGAGCTTGTTTGCCAGTTTTAGTGTATAAAACCGACCCACTGCCTAAACAAATTTGTCAGTTTTGCGCAGCACGTCTTGACGATATTTATGAATTTAGAGAATATTGTCTTAATGTTTATAAGGATATGCATGTTAAACTATTAAATTATAGGGACGTTGAATCTGTACAGATATTTTTTGAAGCTATGAAAAATTCTCCTGATCCTTGCCAGGTATGTTGTTTCATGTAAAATTTTACTGATGATAGGTCATTGATGTGCATTGATATAACAATATAAACACAATAGTATCTAATAATTATATTTATATAAAACATTTTCAATAGGCACAACTCTGCACAGAAAAAGTTAGAGCTCCGCCACCATTAGTGCCATTACCATCGTTACTATCTTTTGAAAGTTCTTCTATGTCAACCGAGATTAATCGAGAACAACTATCTAATAGTTGCATCGAGACATTGTCTGAACTTCCATGCGAGGTAGAAATTGAAGAAGTTAATTCGGAAACATTTCTCGGAGATGAGACATGCGAAAGTACAGACTCAAGGACATTATCTGATAATGAATTCTACCTAATGACAGACAAACAACTTGATTTTAACGTTTTTGAACATATGGAAAATGATAATGATTTTTCTAAGGAAGAATTTGGAACTAAGAAAGGGGAGAAACGAACTAGTATTTTAGAACAAGTTTTAACCGGAAGTTTAACTATGAATGATCGTATGGAATTAAAAGGCAGGGAACATTTAACATCAGAGTGGTGGTGTGCACCTTGTAATAATTATTACAAGTGAGTATATAATTTATAAATAATTGTAGTTTGTTTCTAATATAAAGAATAATTTTTAATACATAGAACAAGAGAGTGCTTGATAAAGCATCTTCAATTCCATTGTCCACGTAAATATAAGTGTAGAAAGTGTTCTATGTCTTTTGAATCAGTTGAAGATTTGGCCAAACATGAAGGTACTAATCATTTGAAAGTTACATTGGATTTCAATGAAATAGTGAAAGAGTGTCATCAATGTGATCGCAAATTTGTTAGTTGGGAAATGTTAAAGCAACATAGAATGCGTGATCATTTAGGTGAATCTATTACATTAGGAATGAATACATGGTGCTCGTCTTGTAACAGGTACTTCATTAAATCTACAAATTAAATTATTATTTATTTAGACACGTATATTCATAGATGAAATATTTGATTATTTTCTAGATTTTTCCCCACTATAGAAGCATATCACAATCATCAACAATTGCACCAAAATAATAATCATTCCATGGCACAAACGCAACAACTTTCTATGCAATCTAGTAAATTTTCTATATTTGGTCTTGGAGATCATTTACAAGAGATTAAAAAGGAACATTCGCTCGAAAATACTAAATCGCTTACTTGTCCTACTTGCGGAAAAGTAATACACTCATAATATTTTTTTACATTCTTAATATTACTTGTTATAATATAAAGTTATATTTGAAAAATGATTAATAATTTTATTTAATCTTACATTTATATTTGATTGTAGGTATGTACGCAACAAAGTGCATTATCCAATCACATGCGTATTCACGAACCTAAAAGACATAAATGTGACATTTGTGGTCGATCATTTGGATTATTTATACGTTTAGTAGCACATAGAAAGAGTGAACATGATCAACAAACTTCTATGTCCCCACTTATGGCATCCGTTGAACAGGAAGAAGCTTTAAATGCTGCACGAGAAGCGCGAGAAGCTAGAGAAGCTTGTACTCGTAGAGGAAGAACCAGAACATATTCAGAGGTTTAATTACTACAATTTATATATATTTATTTATTTTATATATATATATATATATTAAATTCTATATATTAAAATGATGATTATTATAAATAATATTTTACTGATAAGCTTTAAAGTGCAATGAGCTTGTTTGAGTAAAATTATTACTTTCTATAAATTATTTTCAGGCATTTGATCGAGATAATATATTGAATAGCGTTGAATCCTTAGCAAAACAAAATGCTTCATTACAAATTAGCAGTGTAAATAAAAATGTTTCACGCTGTGGTATTTGTTTACAATGGTTCAATGATTATACAACTATGATGATACATTTACGAACGCATCCAGAATTCTATACATGTCAAAATTTCACTTGTCCTATATGTAAAATATCTTTTAAAGAAAAATGGCAACTTTTTAGACACGAGGTAAAGTATATTATAACATGATATTAAGTTATAAAAAGTCCATTATTTTTATATCTGATTTTTACAGGTATCACATAACCGTACGGACACATCATCCTCTTATGCATGTAATGTTTGCAATAGAATATTTCTAGAAAAGAGTTTATTAAAAGTACATGAAAAGACACATGTTGTAGATAAAACGTATCATTGTTCAAAATGTAATAAACTTTTTTTCAAAGAAATTTCATTGCTTGCCCATCAATGTACGGGAGAGCTATTACATCGGAAAAAAGATTTAACTTCGAAATCCACCCAAAAATCGGTATTACAAAATACGAAAAGATATAGGTGTTCTAAGTGTAACGCATCTTTTACTAATCCGCAATTAAGGAAAGCTCATATGAGAATTCACACAGAGAGTATTAATGCCGCAGTAGGTTTAATTTTCGTTTTATATTTTCTTGCAATAATATCCGAGTAGCTTTTAAATAATTTTATAAATCTAGGTACGACAAGCGATAATAAAAGAAGAGCCAGAAAATGATTTAATGCCAGAATTGAAACCAGAAACGTCGCTGGAATATATCGTGCCCTCTATCGAACCAAAAGTTGAGATCAATGAAGAATCTACACCACCTCCACTTAAGAGAACTCTCATCAAAACAAGTGGAGGGTAAGACGTATACATTTAATATTTTAATTGTTCTTCCTATAAAGATTTCTTCTTTTTTATTTTTTTGTTATTACATGATTTTTTAATTTCTTATAGATATCGTTGCGGTTTTTGTCAATCTCCGTTTGTCTTGAGAGAATTAGCAATCGCACATTTGAAATCTGCGCATCCTGTAATGCCATATCAATGTCCTTATTGTACAAAACGATTTACAACTCAATACACATTTACGCATCATATTAAGACCGATCATCCTGAAGAACCAGAAAATTAAATAGTAACAGAGAAAAAAATCATCTAGTAGTAATAATAATAATAATAATAATAATAACAATAATAATAATAATGATAACGATAATAATAATAACAATAATAATAATAATAACAATAATATTAAATAGTAGAAATACAAGGTATATAAAAATGCATGTTGCCTCTTTCTACTGAAAAATGTGCCTCGTGTGATAATGGAGAAACTCGTATAAAAAATATGATAATATAGAATATATGCAAAATTTTGATTTTGCGAAAATGAAGAGATGTATTGCATCTAGTTTACGATGTTCCTGTTTAAAATAGCGTGAGACATTGCATTGTAGCTATTCGTTATTACGTATTATATCAGTCTTATTTAATGACGTTAACAATCCAAAGATATATAGTTATTTTTTAAATGAAAAGTGTGTTCATATATTTATTTAATTTGCACTTAAACCTAGA